TACATTTGAGGATCTCACTACATTTGTTTGTGTATGTATTGCGGAATTTTTGTCTCTGTATGAGACAGAACGTCTCATTCAAGAGCTCACGAAACAGGTCAGTGGGTTGGTAATATACCAGGTTATTGAGGAGCCGGTGACAGTACAAATTCACTCGAATTTCAATTCCAGGGTATCGACACACATATATAATTGTGAATCAGCTGTTGTTCCCGGATACCGTTGACGGTTGCGTTCAATGCAAAAAATGTCAGGCACGATTTCGAATACAGTCGAAATACCTTGAACAGGTGCGTTTCCTTTGTCTCTTTGCTCGTTGTCCTACTTACCGTATCAATAGATTGGCAAGATTTTTTTGTCGACGAATTAAATAATGTATTGAATGAAGGCAAGCACACATGATTTCCTGTTTATGACGTCATATAAAATGCTGTTGTGAATTTGATAACCTTGTCGTGGTGGCACGGCAAGATCATCATTCGCCACGCAATCACAGTATCCTTCAAAAATTGAGGAGGATTCGTACGCGAACTCTGCAGTTTGGAGTGTTTTTCAAAATTCTTTTTCGAACATTTGGTGTGCTATGCTACTCTCTCTTGCAGAAAGCTCTCTCATACTGGAATTGCTGTAGATCTAGCAATGAGGGAAGCAGAACAGGCCGCACTCCGACCTTTTACTACCAACAGTATTCGATTTTTTTTACGACACCTGAGCTTTTTCTTTCCAGGTCCCAGTCAAAAATTTAAGAGCTCACTCCGTGACTGCAAAATGTGGGTAACTGGGTACAAATCAGCTAATATTTTTGAAACCTGTTACAAAAAAGCAGAAGAAACTCCAGAAAGTTGTTGTGACATCAGCCTCGGAGGCAAAACAACTGAAAAAAGCTGCCGAAGATGTCGTAAATAAGGTTATTCAAGTGGCATTTAAAGTGAACATCAGGCATTCTCTAATGAGATTTCACCTTCCGTAAAAGTGCTTTTATACCGTCTAAGATTTTGGAGCAGTTGAGAGGAAAAAACTGTAATGAGTGTGCACATCCATCATATTGCATCACTTATCAACCATGTTGTTTGCTAATATGTTGTTTTGACCAAGCTACACAGCAGTAGCTTGGTCAAAGTCATATCCGAAACGGCTTTTATGCATTGTATTTGCCACCTAATCAGTTCCCTTCAAATATTGATGTGTTGTGTCTTCTAGGCTTTATGAGCTTTGGGGTTCTAAGGGTACAAGGCGTTCAGAAGAGAAATTTTTAATCAGTTTTCAAAGATTTTTCCGAAACCTAAAATGTAATAGTTAAATATTGTTCCGACAATCACTTTTCACCTAATCTGCAGATGCCCAGGCGATGGGCCGAAACGATGCTTTATTTATGAGCGTATAAAGTGCACGTGACGTCGCTGATTGAAAATATTCCTGGAAGCTTTCTTCATAAGCGGAATAAAATGCCTGTTCATTGGCCTCACCATCTTCACAGTATGAGGGATTTTCACCTTGAGACGAGCTCAGCCCTCTTGTAATTGCTTAAGTCTGAAGCGGTCTGCAATTCCAGTGTTCTGCAGCACCGAAGGTCGATGAATCTTTACGAGCTGTGGGTCTAGCAGGAATTACTCTAATGGTACGGAAAAGCAGCTCGAGTTTGTGGAGTATGCTGTGAGGGCGCACGCTAACGCTCACATCTAGCAATCCCATGACGGCATTTTGCATCTCATGCTGTTAGGGCCAAGGTCTCGGCAACCTCTTTTCCCAGCAGAACTGGATGGGTGCGTTATGCTTGAAAAAAGTTCACCTGGATGCGAGGAGCCTGAGATTCTGGAAGACCTGCAAGTAGGCCGAGTTTAGGCACAGCTTCGAAGGAGCATGTGTGAAGATAACGAAATTAATGAACTTGTGATTAAATGCGCACCATGCCACGTGACTGATTTGTCTGATGTCACGTATGGCCGGACGCATAGTCGGTCGGACGACAGCAACGACTGCAAGTGTCGCACAGTATTGGGTGCGTATCGATCTGCGGCACTTGCAGTCGTTGCTGTCGTCCGACTGCTGCTGTCGGACGACAGCAACGACTGCAAGATCAATACGCAGCTACTATTCCACACTACAGTGGGACTTTCGAAATACGATCACGCGCAGTCACGTGTTGTCTGGGTTTGCATTGGGTGACCGCGTCGCCTTCCATTTGCGACCGCGGTTTATGCGACACCTGCAGTCGTTGCTGTCGTCCGACAGCAGCAGTCGTTGCTGTCGTCCGACCGACTATGCGTCCGGCCTATGAAAGGGTTTCATGAACCATGATCTATTCAGTGGTCTGGGGCCGTAATGGTTGCGGGGACTAAAGTCCCTTTAAATTTTTTGTTTTTAAAACGATACTGTTTCTTATTTTCAATGCATGCTTACTTTAAGCTACACACATATATTAGATGTAGGCCCTTTATCAGGACAATCCCAGTTGGGACTACAGAGAAATTTAAAGTCGGAAAAGGGTTGACGGACTACTTGAACTCAGCCCTTTACCGCCTCTGCGCTCTCTAGCGGGTCCCTCTCCTCTCCAAGGCTTAGTCCTAGGGCATTCTCTAATCGTCTGTGCTCTAGCCATCGCGGCAGGACCATTGAGGAAAAATCAAGTAGTCCGTAAACCTCAAAGGGTTGAGGCAAAACAATCACCTCCTAGAAATGGAAGAGGGGAACAAGGTTATTCCTGCCTTGCTCTCTTGCCTTTTCTGGGGGTGAACAGAAAGGGGCAAAAATACAGAGGAAGACAATTTATTCACTTCCTACGACCAATTTATCTTGTTACCGTAATTTTGCGCACCCTGCATATTCATTTTTATTTCGAAAGTGGCCATTGAGGCAACAAGAAAATTGATAAGTTGATCAGCTTGACTTTGTATCTCAACATCAAGATCGAACCGTGGCTATTTGTACTACTGTGGGTGTCTTCCTCAGCGCGCAACATTGTAACAGTTTGCTGCACATTCCTTCTGATCCTTTTCTGGCGCTGATATAGCTATGGTAAGTCGAAAAAGGAGGCGTATAGCTAGCACCTGGAAAGCTGGAAGATATTTAGTATATTATTTGACCTGTTTCAATTTAGCAGGTGGCAAAATATGTTTTTTTTTTCCTTTTTTCCCTCCCTCTAGACCTCCCTTTGCTTCTCCGGGTTCATCAATATTTTTAAAAGTTCAGCTGAGCATAAATCTTTCAGATTGCTGACCTATACGAGGATTTCCATATCACCAAGTTGCCGCAGTTGGACGATGAAGTACGTGGTCCAGAGCAAATTCGTAATTTCAGTAGAAACTTAATTGTACCCTATTCACCGCCGGGTGAATCCAGTTCTTAAACAGGTAAATTTGTTCTGTCCTCACAAGAAAGCCGTAATATTGTAATGATGAGGGGGCAACAACCCCAAACAATGTTTTGGATTCTTGTTGGAGTGAGACTGTATTAATAACTAGAGATTTTCTTCTTTTGGTGATTTCCTCGAACTGTTACTAATAATCCTGTCAGGAATTCTTGGTTTGTTATTATTTTTGGTTCGCTTTACTGTGAAATGGTGAAAATGGTTAAGTTTGAAATGTTGAGCCACTCTCTCGGTGGTTGATGGGAGCTCCCGAGATAGTTTGTGAATATGATGTTAACTGCTTACTGATGTTTGTGCTGAACTTGGTGATGTACTCGTGATTTACTCTGTTTCCTTGCAAATACGAGATGTTGAGATGACGAAAGATATATTTATATTCATTTTATTCTCTTATCTCTTTCAAATCACGAAATAAATGTGCCAAACAGCCTGAGTGCAAGGTGGTGAAATGTCACTTCGATTCGATGAAAAGAAGGAAAACAATAAGCAAGTGAAGAAGCATGAGGATGACAAAGAAAGCAAGTATTCTGGTGAAACCATTTTATCCTTAAAAGGTAGTCGTGCCTGGGGCAGCCGCAATGGGACGCGTGCGGTTGCGATGCGGACTAGTCAGTGAGGTCACAGCTTTTCCATGAAAACGTGGCTTCCTGGGGCACGACTACCCAAATGGTTTTACAAATGAGCAGAAATGATAAAGCATAAGTCTGAAAAGAAAAAAGAAGGCATTGAGCGAGTGCAATGCGTGTCTTCGGGAAGCGTCACAATCTGTTGGACTATAAGGAATGCGACGAAGGTGCGACGCGTATCGAGCAGACGTGTTTCTCGTATTGATCCGCCGACTATGTCGCACCGCAGCCGCGCCCGTCCTGATGTGGCAGTCTCGGACGTAGACAAGTAAAAATTTGAAAGTAAAGTTCGATCATGCAAGTTTTATTCTTGCAGTTTTCGCACTTTTCACAGGTTTCTGTCAGTATTTACCCGAGTAGTAACATGATGAGAAGATCAGTATGAGGGGTGTTGTTCCAGAAAAGAGAACAATATCCGATACAATTGCGAGACGGTTAGATCAAGGCGTCAACTAAGAGTTTCGTGGCCTTTTCCTGGTTCACTGATGATCAGCAGTTTTTCTCCCGTAGTGAGATATACGGGAAAGAGAACAGCGATCCGGATTTGTCCGGAAAATATCGTACTGCCGCAGTATACCTGGAATAACATTCTTAGGCTACAAATGACCTTCATAAACTGTTAAAAAGAATTGGGCGTAATATTGGTCCGGGTTTTAGCCTGACGATGTGCTAGTAAAAGCGCAAGCATTATTCGGAGATTAAAGATGTTAGGAGCCACATTTGTTCAAGTTGAGGGCTTGTTTTCTCTTCAAAAGGCAGACCCCAGGATCAGGCTGGTATGGTTAATTCGTTCTAAAATGGAAGTGGTGGAGGGGTTTTGGGGGGGGCCAGAGGTAATTGACAGGATAGCCAAAAGAAAAGTAAGGAACCATTGAAAAATTTGAAAGTCTACGAGGGAGTCAGTGAGGTAAGAGATAAGGAGAAGGAAAAGAATTGGTAAAGAGAGAGAAAGAGGTATGGATATGAGGTAGCTGTGCTGGCCTACGACCTCAATTCAGGGTGAAACCCCGAGTGCTGGGTGGAATAGTGTGAAAACCTTGAAGGCGAAGTTTACGATGAAGAAGCAACCCAACAGCGAACAAAGTAGAGGTTATCAGTGGAGCAGGGATGAAAAAATAAGCCATGAGAAAGTGCCCACAACCGACAATCCCTTTTTTCGGCGTCAATTCCGCATTGATGCGACTCTCGTCGGTGCTGCCCTCTCCAACGCTGATGCTTTCTCTGCTTAACGGTTCGAGGCCAGGGTTGGGCGTACCCGTTGATGACGCCGCCACGGACGGCCATGCTGGGGCGTCAGCGGAACATATCCTTTCGCGGAATTGCGAGTCGGTCCGGCAGCCTCAAGGGTTCCGTCTGTTTTGGACTAGGTTTAGTTCTCCTTTTTCAAAATGCCTTATCGTGGAATCTTTCATTAGCCTCCTTCTTCTCGCATAATCATACGTGAACTCTGTACATCCCGTATGCTTCCCGATCGTTCTACCTTGTTGTTCAGGGTCATTCCTGTGTGGGGCAGGAATTCAGATCAATATGCTTCGGTAATGTCAGAGATACGAGGCCTGAATTTGCAGTTGTTTTCAAGGCAAACTAAAGATGGTTTAGCCGAAATGTTTGCGACTAATGCCTATGAAGAGGAAGTTGGGTCGTGGACGTATGCTCGTACGAGGCCATGCGTTCGTCCGGACAAGGATGTTAGTAGCACATTCGTTCGAGTTAAGGGCTTTCCATCTCGAAGGCATACCAGGATCAGGCTCATATGTTTATCGTTCTAAAATGGAAGTGGTGGAGGGGGCAGGTAATAGACGGATAGCCAAGAAAGAAAACTAAGGAACTATGGAAAAATTTGTCTAACTGAGACACAGTGAGGTGAGAAAAGAATGGTAAAGAGAGAGTATGGATATGAGAGGGCTGTGCTGGCCTACGACCTCAATTTAGGGTGAAACCCCGAGTGCTGGGTGGAATAGTGTGAAAACCTTGAAGGCGAAAATTTACGATGAAGAAGCAACCCAACAGCGAACAAAGTAGAGTTATCAGTGGAGCAGGATGATGAAAAAATAAGCCATGAGAAAGTGCCCACAACCCGACAATCCCTTTTTTGCGTCAATTCCGCATTGATGCGACTCTCATCGGTGCTGCCCTCTCCAACGCTGATGATTTCTCTGCTTAACGGTTCGAAGGCCAGGATTTAAGTGCGTACCTGTTGATAAACGCCGCCCCCGTGACGGCCAATGCGGCTCAGCGGGGACATAGTCCTTTCGGATTGCGCAGTCGGTCCGGCGCACCTCAACGGTCCGCCTGGTTGGACTAGGTTTAGTTTCCCTTTCGACCATGCCTTATCGTGGATCTTTCATTTAACCTCCATTCATGCACAATCCATATCGGGAACTCGTCAGCAAAGCCCTACTTGCCGATCGTTCTGCCTTGTTGTTGCTGGTCATTTCCTGTGTACAGGCGCAAATTCAGAATCCAAGATGCTTCGGAATGAGGAAGATGGGGGTGGACGATTCCGTGAGAGAACTGCAATCGACTTGTCGATGTCTTTTCAGGCACAGCTCGACGGGTAACGCGAAAATGTTGCCCTGAAAAAGAGAGGGGGTCGTGGACGATGCTCTACGAGACCATCGTGGAAGAAGATGTCCTAGAAACGGCACCAAACGCTGGTCGATGCGCTGCTGCTGATCCGTCGGCCCACCATAGTAATATCTTATTAACGTCGTCGATCTGTATGCTCTCTCGTTTCGAAGAACTTCTTTCTCTCATTGGCTCCCATTATCTCTTACCTCACTGCCTGCCGCTTATTCTCCTCCATCTCGCAGAACAAAGACATCTGTATTTGCTGTGTTCTTGGCGAGTTCCCTTTCTTTTTTTCTTGACTGGCAGTCCACTTTCCACTCCTTACTTTCACAATCGGGCGCTCTTACCCCGCCAACTCGATCCTGGGGATGTACCTGGGGGAAATGTAGTGGGGCGTAAGCTTTCACCAATGAAACACAGTGGATGCGGCTGCCACAGCGACAAATTCGCGAGTCGAAAAATAGGACCTAACATCACAAAGCAAAGTGGGTATGGTGGCGTGGAAAAAGAGGGGTTTCCCGAAAATGAGAATATCAAAGAAGCCAATTAAAAGTTCCATGAATATTTCACCTGTGAGACGAGCTCCTTGTCTCGATATCGATCATAGAGAACATCACGAAAACGGTATAGCCAGCAAGGCCAGCTAGTAAATGGAAGAGCGCGTGTAGGTAAGGGGCACCTGAATGACAAAAATAAACAGCTTAGATTCTCAGAAAAACCAATATCAATCGATTACCGAGCCACAGCCAAACATCGCACAACAGCCGATCAGCGAACCAGAATCCGAACGACGTGAACCACAGAGTGAGAATTCGGCGCGGAAAGTTTTCGATGTCCGGAATTCCGGAGCTGAAAATTAAATTGATTCGATTCAAAGTTTCCCAACAACACAGTTCCAATGAGAATCATCAGGGTTCAGATAAATTCGCTAAAGAAGCGTTAGCTTTCAAGCATCAACTCACTGTGTGCCTTCATAGTGGATAACCAGTGCAGCTGGAACACTGAATAGCATCAAGGCGATGGCGTTCAAAGTTGGTTCAAGGAAGCACAGACCGGAGAAAAGCGCAGTCAGCACGACTACTGTCCGTCGTAGCATAGTTCTGAATACAAATGGGTTAGCTAAGGGTTGATCAGACTTGGGGTTCAAGAAAATATGGTCATG